TCATGAGGTAAAATGGCGCCCGCTGCAAAACCAGCTTGGAGAGCCACGAGAAACTTCTGCAGAAAGCTGCTTTTCTCCTCCAAAACCTGCTGCCATGGCTTCTCGTTTTCAAATGCCATCCTTTCTAAGCTTGCCCAGATCCTTTTTTTTAATCAAAATCTTATTTTAGCTCAGCAAAACACCTGTGGCACAAGCTGTGCAAAAGCGGGTCCCTCGTACGCTGTTTCCTCAGTATTCAGTCACGCTTTCACCAGCTTTTATTCTCCCCAGCTGAATTACGTGGTTTTTTTTTGCATTTCAGGCCTAAAAATTCATTTAGTGCTAAAATGAACATGAATGAAAGAAGTACTGCTGGCCTCTCTTGTTCTGTTTGAAGGCTATCAGCTCACAGAGCAACCCTAGCAGGAAGGCACGGTCTCAAGCTGCAAAGCACGGAGGAAAAAGCTGCCTGGCTCACATGTACCATGATTTCTTTATGGTGTAGTGGAAAAAGAACCCTTTTTCCAAATCCCAAATCCTAATCCAGGCAGACCTGCGCTGACACCCCCCCCAGTCCCAGCCGAGGGTGCTGAGGCTGGCCGGCTCCAGCTCCCCGCCATCTTGCAATGGGCAACGACAAAGCAGGTTTTCGCATGGATTTTTAGCACTAACGCGCTGCAAGCTCCACAAAAGCCAGCGCTTCAGCTGGAGAGGTTGTGTTAGTGTAGGCACATAAGCAACAGCATAAGATGCATGCGTAAGCGTCTGGCAAGCACCCTCCAGACTACTTGATACCCTGAATTCAGCCTGTTTCTGCAGTTTGTACTGAAGAGGGACAGCAGAGTCCAGCCAAACCAGGCACAGAAGGACCATCTCCTAGACTGAGAGCGCTCTGGCCACATAAATACATTCAGTTGCACAACACAAACGATGTTTTTTCAGTACCGCGTTGCTAGAAAAACCCTGTAATACAGGAGAGGTGTATGACACTGAAGTTTGCGTGCAGAGGCACGAGGAAGAGTCCTGTAGGAACCCAGCTGAACCATAATGCCATGGCACGGTCAGCATACATCCCCTCTGGAGGGGATATAAAGGAAGAAACAGCTCTTATGTGACTTAAGCCCGGATGGAAACGCTGTCTTGGTGGATAGTTGACTAAAAGGCATGGAGAAACCTGGGGATCGGGTCTCTAGCTATGCCCCTGGTTTGCTCATACCGCTTTAAAGCATGGGATCTCCTATGAAAAGCTCGCTCTGTTTCCCATTTTGCAAATGACAACTCGTTGCTCGTGTTCCCATTGAGGATTTGTGTGGAGTGAGTATGAAATGCTACCCGGTTTGGTTTGCTTGCTTCTCTTAATTACCAGTCTATCGTTTAGATCACGACAGCGGCTGAGTTGTAGAGATGATGGATCAGGCCTGACGCATAAGCTCTTTTGGTGCTCTGTGTTTGACCGATTTTATAGGTAACCTTCACAAAAGATCGTGTGTATAAATTTACAACCAACAGACCCTAGCATGTAAACACTCTTTACTAGATTCAGTCTTGGGGAAGAAATGTGACGTGAATTCATTGTGACTATCAATTGCCCAAGGGCTCTGATAAAAAAAAAAGCAAATTGTAAATCAGATGACTAGATTTTCGTGGCGCTTACATCACGTGGCACGGCATGGTAGAGCAGACTGTAGGCACAGCATGTTGCTAAAAGCATGTGAGGACTTACGGAGAGCTAGGTTTAAAAGACACGCTTCAATATCCTGCGCAATAGATGGCATCACGGTGCGAGTGCATGCCTCCGTCTTTTTCGGAGACCCCAGCGGGGTCTGGGTGCTATGAGAGCAATGCAATTTGGTTATTGTCAAAGTCCAGGAAAAGCGCACCCCAGCTCTCTAGTGCCAAGGCTACAGCCTGAGCAGGAGCCTCTGGAACAATGATTTATATCTGCCTTTTTCCTGAGAGGTTCCTCAGAAACTGCCTGGAAATTGAAGATGATAAATTATTTAAGGAACGCTGACTCAGGAAAAATGCTATGTTCCTAACTGTAATGTGCAAGCACAATGTAACGTAACAGGCAATGAGGCACCCCGTGGCTTTTGTACAACTAGCTTTTACTATGAACTGGCAACGTATGTCAAATGTATAACTGCTTTGTCCTTACTAGCATTTTTCCTCAAGCGAGTGAAGTGAGACTGCGCACTTCACCCTGTGCTAGGGATCGACTGTAGCCAGCTGAACGGGCCAGGTACCTGTCGCAGGGTCCTTCGACAGTCGACGGACTTCTCCGGAGACCGCTTTGGAGAAGGCGCTTGACTCAGGTACTCTGAACTGACTTGGGGAGGAGTCTCGTCCACCGTCACCTACGGAGAGAGGCCATGCAGGCTGCCCCGCGAACCCAGCCAGTGCCGCTGTCCCCGCCGTACCGTGGGAGGTAGGGTATTCCATCCCAGTATCCCAAATAGGTGTTTCAATTATAAAAATGATGCTCATTTTTAGCAGAAATGCTCACTGTAGCTCACCTGCTACAGGTTCAGCTCTAAAAATCCCATGTAGCCAGACCCAAAATTCAGATTTGTTTCAGTAAGTTTACAAGGACTAGACAGTAAATGTAAAATTCTGTCCATGGTATTCCTGTCCCAAGAAATCATGTCATCACTCTGGGAAATGAGTTTCCATTATATTCGAGTTTTAAGAACACAAGAGAAAAGCAAGGTGGGATAAGGAGCAATGAATAGCTTCCCCTTTTTGGCAAAGGCACGGAGAAGTAAACCTACTGGCTTGGCCAATGTTTAATTACCTTTAAGTACACATCAAGATGTGCTTCTACCAAACTTAGCAAAACTTGCAGTTAGGGGAGCAACTGTTGTGCAAAGACTGCTTCCCTAATGATAAACTTACCAGTGCTTACAACAGAAATACGGGCTTTAACTCATTTTTCACCTGAAGATCTAAGCTGTTACAAAAATGTAAGTAACTATCGCTTGCCTCATTAGCTGATGCTTGTGTGTGCAGTGAGAGCACACGTAGGACTTGCATCATCAGCCCCCAAACGTGCTGGACCACAGAGCCATGCCAAACACCTGAATCTCCTGGAAACCACCAAGAACCCTTAACCCCAAAATTTTTAGCTGGAAACCCAACAAAAGAAACTGTTTTACACACTACTTAGTAAAGCCTTATATACCGCCTGGCTGACTGCCCGCCACTTGGAAACCCTTGACTTGTAGCGTAACGCCGGCATGCAGAGTGACGACTGCCGTCAATCATGCATCCCGTGTGGGCGAAGGTGGCCGGACCGTGCAGCCCAAGGTGCTCCCGCTGAAGTCAGTGCTGGTTCCCGGAGCAAATGGGCAGACCCCGCTTGGATCGGAGGCTCTTCATGGCCTGAGGGTAGACTGAAGGACTTACTTTCTCAGGAAAGAACTTACTAAATGGAAAATGCACTGTTGGCCGGTCTCAAGCTGTTCGCAAAAGCCTGCCAGATTTGCCAAGTCTTTCTGATTTGTTTTGGTAAGCGCAGGATGGAAGGATGGCTTTAAAAAAAAAAATCTAAATGAAAAACTTTTAAATGTGATAAACTAAATGGACATACTGTGTAGTTTTTTTTTTTTTTTTTCCAGGACAAATTAAATGTTTTGATTGGCTTGAAACAGCTCCCCCCACTGTTTTCCTGAAACTCCACTCAAACAAAGAATTATTCTTGAGTGCCCCCCAAAATACTTTTCCCTCCAATTTTGTTTTTGATTCAGCTATTAAGGCATAAAAAGCAGTTTCTCTGCTTAGGGTTCTCATGAAATGCTGTATGAGCCTGAACAGCATTCAAGCTCAGAAGTAATGAAAAGGATAGGTTTGCTGTCATCACAAGTAATTGGCTTGCTGCTTCAAAAAGCATGACAAAACTAGGTAGATTTTCTTTTGTGTATTGGAGAATTGATGCTTGATATGACAGAAAGGCATTGGCATTTAGTCTGCCAAGTTGCCCGTGGAAGAGCTATGTGGTGAGCTATTAAAAAAAGGGGCTTTAAAACCAGCACTGAAAGCAATGAGTGTTGTAGTTACCAGTCACATGCTAGAGTTGAAATTCAAAACGAATGGACTTAAAAACTACATGTCTAAAATCTCTGCTCTGGTCCTGGTGGCAAGATAGGATGGGATGAACAATGCAACACCCTGGAGAAAGGAGACGCATGAATCGCTGCTGCAGCAGGAAACCTCTGCACAGTTAGAAGAGAGATGACCCAAATCTGGCTCATCAGCCACGGTGGTAATCTGTTCAGGTAGCTTCTAGCCATTTTGTTTAAATGGCGATGCAGCTCGTTAGAGAGGAAAGCACGTTCCACAGAGAAAAAGGGGCTCTGCCCCAATCTGCTTTGCTGACTGCAAACTGGCAGCAATCCTCCACCACTTGGTAAGTTGGTAGCGTTAAGGGATAGTTCAGTCAGGCAAATTTAGTTACTCCGTGTTTCCCTGACTAGGAAGTAATCCAAGAGTCTTTATGGTAGGCTCTCGTCTATCTAACTAGGGTGCACAACATTATCACTACATGTGCATGATTTCTGTGGGTAGGGAGAGAATATTGGATTTCAAGTTAATGCCTCTTCTAGCTTGTAAAATAACTTCTGATGAAGTGGGTTCAGACAAATGGGGTATTGCTGTATGAAAAAAGTCCTAGTGTACATCATCCCTTCACAAAAACAGGCCTATAAATCATGTCCTTAGAGATCCCTCTGACATCTCACAGAACTGCATTCAGGCTGCAACTGTAACACAGATCCTGAGTTAGATTATTCAAAACAAAGACAGACTTCCCCTATGCTCCTGCAGTGAGTCCAGACCTGAGTTTGTTACTTCGTGCTAACTTGGACTCCTGAGATGCAGGTTCTCATAAAAGCGTGTTTAAACTCCAGAATCAGTGGATCACACAATCCAGAAGAGGAAAGATTGTATGTCCCTGGTCAAAATCTCCTCCACAAGGCCACTTAATAGTATGTTTAGCATGTGTTGAAACAGGTTGAAGCTTCTTCTGGTAGCCCTTTATTATATTAAAAAACAACAACAACAACAGCAACAAAACCACGAGGAGATGTTCCAAGCTAATGCATGACTATCTTTGGGGTTCCCTCTTTTTGTTAAGGTTTTCACAAAATACAAAATTAAATGTCTTTTCTACACACAGAACAAAGTAGAATCAAGTGACTGATTAGAGTATGTACAAAAACTTACACATTCTGTCTTGTTCTTTAAAAAATATAAATATCAATAATGTTCAGTAGAATGGGTTGGTTTTATTTTTAAGGCTTCATTCTTTTAGATCCTTCATTATTTAATGAGGTGCCAGGTAGGCAGGAAAGGGAAGGAAGAGAGGAGGTCATGTTTTTTATTAAAGGTAATGTGTTTGATTCTCGTTAGATTCTTCCTCATCTCTGGCAAGAGGAGATTTCCCTCCACATTGATTTAAGTTTCCAGGAAGCAGAGGTGGAAGGAAAGGAAAATAAAACCTTTATTATTGCTATTTTTTTTCCTTCATTAAAATCTTGTTTTAAACCTGTCTCTGTTCATTGTCTTTGTAGAGAACCATCTGCCACGTAGCTGGATTAGACTCAAGCAGGAGGACTGTATCCCAGGTGCACCTGGGAAAGGTTAGAGCGAGGAGGAGACCGCTGGAGGTGTTTTACCACTGGCCCTGGCAGAGGTAGCAAGTGCTGCAGCTAGGGCAGCTGCTGCTGTTGCATCCCTGGGCGTGAAGTCTGTGGGGAGGCTTTCCATCAGGCACTTGAGCTGTTCCTGACCCAGTTTGATTTTATCATCTAGCTCTCGCTGCTCTATGAGGAGCGCGGACTTCATCTTTACAAAGTGCTGGTAGTCCTGGAGCTGTTCCTCAGAGAGGTAGTTGCCCAGGATCTCCAAGACCACCCGTTCTCGACGGTCAAGGTTTTCCTTCAGTTCCCGGGCATCTTCGTGCTGGCCAGCCAGCAGTTTCCTCTTCTCGTTCAGCGAACTCTGCACACACCAGAGAGAGTGCTTCAGTATCAGCAGCACCGGACTCACCGATCCCCCCTCTCCTTCCCCCCAACACCATGTTTGCCACCTCTGGGGGAGGCGGGATGGCTGCTAAGCTCCCAGACACACAGTCAGAAGCCCGGGGGAGGAGGATGAACTCCTCATTGCGGACTGAATGTGAATCTCACCGAATCAGACTCCGAACGTTCTAGTCAATGTGGGACAGAAAGTGCTCCAAACAAGTCAGGAAAACTGGCTTGAAAGCAACAACTACCAGGAATACCTGGCTTTGCATCTCACAACCACCCAAAGAATGATGAAAGGCAGCTTCAACTGAGGCAAAAGGCAGTGGGTTGTTCCACGATGCACAATACCATACAGCCTTTCCTCCAGCCACGGGTCACAGACATGCTGTGCCAAACACGGCCGTTCTGTTTTGAGACAAAACCTGCAGGATCTGAGACATTTATGCAAACCGGGACCAGATTCCCAGGGACAGAGCCACGTTTGCTACTGCTTATACGTAAGCGCTAAGACACCTGCCTTCCTGTGAGCCTTTGGAGGTCCTAGCTGATACAAGCACCTTCTTGTGACTGCTGCTGTCCCGCACCCCAAAAAAGGCCAAGATGCTATGGTTGTGCAGATACGTACCCGCTCTTCACTGTTGGCGTTTTCCCCTAGGCTACTCAGAACGTTCTCTACGCGGGCCAGGCGTCCCGAGAGGGAGAGCAGGAGGTTCACCACCTTATCCAAATCGCCAATGAACATCTTGTACTTGTCAAACTCGTTAGGTTTGCATAGGTTGCTGATCAACAGCTCCACCTCCTCTCCAAGAGCATTATTCATCTTAATGTCTGCAAGCAGGCCTTCCTTGGCTTCCTTCAGGATTTCCAGTTTGTGGGTCAAGCTCCCGATGAGCTCAGCCTGTCAGAAGGGAAACACATTGCCACATTGGTCATTACCATGATCGCCCTGATCATATGGGTGACGACAACAAGAGGATATGGCTACAGTTCCTGAGGAGCTGGGTCAAGTCAGCAGCAGCCGACAAAGACGACATTAAGGAGGGAACAGAGAAAAGTCTGAAATTCCACATCTACGTGATAATCTGAATACCCGAGCAGATTGCATGAAGATATATTTGCTCTACGAACATTTATAAAAGACACATCTGATTTGGTGTACCATATTCTGATATGCAGCTACCTGCCTCTGAAAGAGGTAGGTTCTCTAAAATCTCTGAGTGAAAAGAGCTACAGCCACATCTCCTGCATATTCCCCACTCCCTGCCCCAGCCTGAAATAGTTACATATGGCTTAGCAAGAAAGACGGAATTGCTGCATATTTCCTCCTCCTATAGTACCCTCAAACTACTGACTGCTCCTTACTCGGCCGCCTCAGTGTTGAGGTGCAAGCCGTGACCAAATTCAGCCCTGATCAAAACTCCCTGCCTGTGCAGGCACTACCTCATAGAGACAGGCACCAAGCAAGCATTTACACCAAAGATGCTCTAAATTTACTTAGTGACTGAGCAAAGACACGGAGAGCACACACCCATTTTGTGAAAATGCTGGCAACTGTTTCACTGCTGAAGAAAAGGAGGCCCCCAGGGTTCAGTTACTCCAGACACAGCAGTGCTGCACATGTGCTGCAGATCCTAATTTCTGTTAGGATTTAGGGGAAAGACATATGCAAAAGCAGAAGTCTATGGCCTGGGGCTTGCAATTCTTGCTTCCATCTACTCAGAACTGAGAGCACAGAGAGCAGGAAAAGCTCTTCATACAAGGGCTGGGTATTTTCAGTCTCTGCAGTTTATGCACTGCTGAGGCACCATTATATCTATGTTAATCTACTCTGCATACAAACACTGCAGGTTGAAATAAAACTAAATCACAAGGTTGCCTGACAATGTTCTCTCAAAGTTTCCTAACACAGTCTCCTTTCCATCAAAACTAAGAATTCATTTCAAGTTGGAAGGTGGTCTACTTCAAAGGAATAAGGATCTTCAAACCCAGGTCAGGCTGGGAGTTGCTCCGAATTGGCCCTTGCCCCCGGGGGCAGCCTGTCAAAGCGGGGTTTAGAAGGCTGGTTTGGCAGCTGGGAAGTTAAGAGCACTGTTTAGGCAGGCACCACTAGATGGTACACTTTGCGCGCATCCTCCGGAGCGCATGGCTTTGTGGCTGCACTCCAGTCCACTCTCAGCTTCCACACATATGCAAAGGCTGAATGAAATGCGAGTAATATTCTCTTAAAACAAACGTCAGCTACCAGACTTATGCTTGAATGACTGCTAAGTCACGCCGCTTGTTAGCAGCATAGTTCAGGGGGACAGGAGAGCAAAAGTGGTACTAAATCCAACCTGGTAGGAAGAAGGACAACTGTCCTGGTTTCGGCTGGGATAGAGTTAATTTTCTTCCTAGTAGCAGGCACAGTGCTGTGTTTTGGATTTAGTAGGAGAAGAATGTTGATAACACGCTGATGTTTTTAGTTATTGCTGAGTACTGCTTATGCTAGTCAAGGACTTTTTCAGCTTCCCCTGCTCTGCCAGGGGCACAAGAAGCTGGGAGGGGGCACAGCCAGAAGAGTTGATCCCAACTGCCCCAAGGGCCGTTCCATACCATACGGCGTCATGGGCAGTATAGAAACTGGGGGGGTTGGCCGGGGAGCAGCGATCGCTGCTCGGGAACTGGCTGGGTATTGGTCGGCGGGTGGTGAGCAATTCCATTGTGCATCACTTGCTTTGGATATTATTATTATATTGTTATTATTATCATTACCATTTTACTTTATTTTATTTCAATGATTAAACTGTTCTTATCTCACCCCAGGAGTGTTTCTCACTCTTAGTCCTCCGATTCTCTCCCCCATCCCATCGGGGTAGGGGGAGTGAGCGAGCGGCTGCGTGGTGCTGAGCTGCTGCCTGGGGCTAAACCATGACAACAACCAAAACTCCTTTGCTTGGATTCTCCCCTCAGTAAGACAGGTAGCATCCAGAGGCAAGAACCAACACTTGCCTTCCCTGTGCCTATGATGCTAATGCCACCTTCAAAAGAAAAATCCGAGGTCCTTATCAGTTGATTGTTGGACCAAATCCTGAGGAGCAAGAGAAGGGATCCATTTTCAATGAGTATGATACCAGGGGGGAAACTCTAGAGCAGGACTCTACGGGCTGGACGCAAAGTCCGGCATTAACCTTGACCGGCTTTCAGGAGGCCCGAGCTGCTCAGAAATGGCAGTTGTTCCTCCCTGCTCTGGGAGCTTTGCTCAAGGTGCAGACCTGCCCTCCAAGCGTAGCAGGAGGCTACGGAACTGCTGGGAGCGATGTACCTTTGTTCTGAAGGCATGGGAGCTGGACGGGGACTGCGAATTACTTGCTTTGTGTTCATTAATCAGTGACTCTCCTGCGATGCCAAATGCCAACCAATATAGCTCCTTTGCCTACTTACAATGGAAATGAGCTTGGTTTATCCAAATGACCTCTCAGAGTAGCTGCCTTCTCAGATAATGCCTATGCAAATGTTATTTCACACAGACCATGAACAAACATGCCAGGCTGATCTTGCTGTCTGGGCTTAATCACTCCCATCTATTTCTGTTTTCCATGCAAATGTAACCTTTGAGGCCCAGGACTCGTCCTCCATGGCAGAACATCTACTTGCAAGCCTGTCAGATGTTTGCAGCATGTCCACCGACTCCTTGGAGCAGCACCCTCGTCGTCTTTAATCGCTCCCTACCTTTCTTGTTGGTATAAGCAGGCTTCCAGTTTTGAAATGAACAGCACCCCAAAAATTGATTGAGCGCTGCAGACATGGCGGGGTAAGAACCGATTGAGCGCTACAGACGTCGCAGGGGCTGCGATTACCTTTGAAGCTGGGTGCTCTACAACCAATGGCTTGGGCCAGATGATAATTAAAGCAGCAGACAAAGGCCTTAGGCAAATGTTTTTGATTAGCAACACATGCATGACCTATCTGTGTAGACTTGCTACCCAGAATCTGTGTAGGACCACAGAAATAAGAGAAGGCAGGCACGGCGAGTGTCTCTAACCCATTCCGTTGGCATCGTATGACAGCTCGTAAAGACTTGACAGGGTCCTACCTGCACCTCAAACGCTCTACGAAATAGGACTAATCTACTCACTCAGTACTAATAATTTCTGTTACAGAGCACTTTGATGGCGGTCCCATTCTAGCTGTCATTGTATTAAAGCCTGGTAGGGAACAGATTTTGCTTAGCAGAGAAAAGCTGAGAACAGGAACAGAAAGGCAATATGAAAGAGAGAGGTGAGCTCTCCAAGTCAGGGCTGCAGGACAAACTGCATACTCGCAAACACCACTCACCCTCGCATCTTCTTTTTTCACTTGGCACGGGGATGAGGACCCGCACAGAAAATGTGGAATTGTGCTAGACACACACGAATTCTCTGCACTTTGACAGAGAGGCTGAGCTTGGGAGTCTTTCTTTAAATCCATGCCTGACTTCAGTGCAGGAAGAATTAAGTGCTATATTTACAGCACATGGGACTTGCACAGATATTTGTATCCTTCAGTATGTTTAAACTCTGCTGTTGTACAAACAGTATGAGATACGGGCTGTGCTCCTCTGTCCAGTGCAATGTAGGATGCTGTAAACTTATAGGCAGGCAGGCACAGCTGCTTTTGACATGAAGGTAGTAGGTGTGTGAAGGGAGGCACAGACAGACAAGTACCTGCTTGTGGCTCCCTGGGATTTGTGAGCTTCGCAACATGTCTGTAATTAGCAGGTAACCGATGTGAGACAACCACAGGGACAAATTAGAAGGCCCTGCAAAAGCCCTGGAAGACAGAGCACCCAAGCCTACGGCAAGAACTGCAGGGGCCATTCCTCAGTGAAATGTAGCCGCAGTAAGAGAGGAAAATGTTTCCTCCTCTCCTGCCCTGCTCTCCTCCCACCCGAGTCATCGCATCGAGGTTGCGCTGACTGAGCTGCTGAGGTGCACGTGGCTTTCAGCAGGTCAGTGAAACAATGAAGCGTGGGGGAAAAAAAGGGTAACCAATGTTTCTTTGGAGGCAGGGAGTGCAGACAGCAGGTAAAATGGGTAAACTGGCTTCAGTGAAAAGGCAAATCCTAGGGTGAAACCTCAGACAGTGCAGTCACTAGCTGGGCTCCGTTCCCGTTTCTAACCCGAGGTGTCCTTGCTTAAGTCACTTCACATCTCCCTTTTCCTTCCTTGCTACAGGACAGGGAGTGCCTCTTATAACCTGTACGCTCAGCATTTGACGTAATACAGGCCCGCCTCAGGGTTGTGCAAGATTTGTACTCAAATTTGCAGGGAGTACTCAGATTAACTCTCTTCCTTCAATCTGGGTCACCCTAATGAAGCTTCACGGGTGGCCTAAATGCACCCAGCCCCCATGCAACCTGGGACTGCCAAAAGCTGACATCAAATAGAAAGGCGCTTTAGGGCTTACTATTATTTCAGGAATGTCAGCAAATGGTGGTGTGTGCTGAATTTACCTTCTTCTCATTGATGTCCAGCAGCTCCTCTTCCTCACCTGCTTCTTCTGGCAAGTCCTTGATTTTATTCAGCAGTTCTGCTTTGGGTGCTGAAACACTGTAATAAGCAGGACAGGTGACCAGGATTACAGGAGCTTCCTTTTCTTCTCTCCTACACCACAGTGAAGAAAAAGGAGGAGTTCAGTCTGAGCCTGACTTTTGCCCATGCCTAGATCCCTGGTTTTCCAGCACTCCCTCTTTGGTACCTTCCCAGAATTATTAGCCACAAAGGAAATGTTCAATTCCTGCCATCAGAGGGTGCATGTCAGCTGCTTTCCTGGCTCTCCCCTGCGCAGAACAGTGCAGCTGCTCTGTTTAAATGTTGACTGGTTAGCAGCTCTGTACAGGATCAGATCCTTGCTGAAGGGAAATCAGCACAGCTCAGCTGGTGATGGCTAGACTGACTGTCTTGTCTGGCATGATGCGTTACAGCTTATTTCTATATATTTCTCCAGCTGTCATTGGGATTCTCTACCTTAAAAAAACCACGCTGGAGGACTTGGCCTGATCTTTGCATCCCCCTCTAATAAGTAGGCGCCCACATCCCTCCTTCCAAAATTTGGCCTTTCATTATCTTTCTGCCCGTCGCTGTTTTGGTCCTGGTTTTACTCTCGTATCTCTGTTACTGTGCTTCGGACTGAATTGCTTCAGATTACACAGGTTAAGATAGCAAAATCAAATAACAGAGATGGTTCATTTCCTGCCCAAGTTCAGCACCGTTTTCTACACAGCCCAGAGAGGTGAGCTCAAAGGCCACACATTCAGCCGAGCTCACGAGAAAGGGCGTTCAAAAATGCCCTGCCAGTCCTCATGCCTGAGAACTGGGAAACTCGCTCTCTGCCAGCATCCACCTATAAAGATGCAGAAAAATTCAGCACAGGCTTGTGCTTAAAAGCAAGCAAGCAGCCAGTTCTGCTGTGACATTAGCCCACAACCCAAACAAGAAGAGCTTACGTGTCATCTTCGACTACTGTCCTGCTAGCTGTCTTCTGCGTCATCTTCCTTTTCATGTTGTTCTCCTTCAGCAAGCTGGTTCCGCTGGGGAAAAGCCCTTCCATTAAGTCCATGGTTGTCTTCATTTTGGAATCTGGATCCAGGATGTCGGCCAGAGACTTGTCTTTATGGACAATTTCTTTTGCTAGAGCCTCTGACTTAATATCCTCTGGGGTCTTTGTCTTTACTGGAGGTGCTGCGCTGAGTGTCCTGGAGTCCAGGTTGCCATTTTCTGACTCTCCGGTGATGACTGCTGGCTCTCTGTGGTTGCCCTCAGGTTGAGTTAGGGGCTGTCTATCAGCGCTTTGAGGCCCTTCAGAAGCAGCAGGTACCTGGTGCTGCTTATCCACAGCAGATGGAGAGCTAGTCCTCTTTGACGCAGGTGGCGAGAGGGGCCAATTATTTTCACTGCTACTGGTGCCCAATCCTGTTATCTCCCTCTCGGCCAGGTCTTTGGGAAAGCTTTTGAAGCTGCTATGGACAGAAAAATTCCGTGAGATGAAGATAAACCACACAGGATCGTTGGGAACACATAGTAAAGGCCTAAGGCAAGTAAGTTTTCCTTCTCTCTCACTTATTTTTGTTTCTTACTTCTCACAGGCCCGCAGTGTCAAGCTACTGGCACCAGAAGCATATTGTCCCCTAAACCTGGACACTGCTGTTTTGTCATTCCAACAGAGAAGGAACTAGTGAGTGACGAGCCAGTTTGTTTTCTGCTCACAGGCTGGGGACATTGAGTCCCACCACCTGGGAGTACCATCCTGAGCAGCCTATACCCATTTGTTCTTTTCATGATGGAAAAGCCAATCACTACCACAGCCCCGGCCAGATTCCTCCTGGATGGAGATCAGAGCAGCTCCCTGGGAGCGAGGGAAGCTGCGCTGAGTTAAACCAGCTGGGCATCTAGCCCGAAGTCCTATCCTTCAGGAAAAATTCACTACGCAGTGTTACTGTGACATATTTGTGTTGTCACTTCTTGGCAGATGGTCACTGTTTCATAACAGCATTATTTTGTGCCAGGTCTAAAATGTATTTGGGGAAACTCTGTTTGGAAAAACTGTCATGGATTTAGTTCTCTCTCAAAAACCAGTAACTGGAAGGAGTCAGCAGCCATTTTAACTCTTCATGCTGGAGTTAAGAAGCAACTCCAGTGGAATCCGTATGGTAACTGCAGGGAGAACGAGACCAGGATAGTTTCTCACCCATAACCCCCTTGCTTGCCAAGCACCTGTCAGTGCATCTGCTGATGGGCCGCAAAGCTTTTTGCCTTCTTGCTGTGTGCCCTGCCCTGGCCACATCATTTGACAACGCTCTTGGCAGCCAGCAAAGCCTAGCAGCAGCGAGTCTGTCTGTCTGTCCCTCTCCCCTTATAACACGTGCCCTCCTCTGCAAGCTTCCCGCTCAGCTAGCAGCTGTGGGTGGGTCGTCGCGGCACGCAGAGCTGCGGAGGTCAGTCACAGTTGTGTGGAGCTCCGCATATCTTACTGTATATGGCCCTACAACGCCCGAGACGCTGCGGTATAGCCCTCCCTTACCTCACTTTGGCCTCCTCTGTGAGCCTGGTGGATTTGTCTCCAGCTGCCCCATTCCCCTCAAGCACCGCCGGTGGGGGAGGAGGTGGGAATTCCTCCGTGCTGTTTGCAGAAGTGCAAGAGCTCAGCTCAGGAAGAGGATGGGATGGCAGTGGGGGTGAGAAGGATGGAGCAACGACACCGGGCTGGGAAGGCATGACAAACACCTCGTCGTCTTCATCGTCCTGCAGCAGTGGTGGGGGTGTGAGCTGTGGGCCCGACTCGGAGATCCGGAGATGGGTTGTCCCCTGGGCAGAAGGACTCTCTGGGTCAGAAGAAGTGCTGCTCTGTGTTGGCAGGGACTGCCACCTCTGGAAGAACTTTGGCCCAGCTGCTGGAGAAAACACCATAGCCCTTGGGTAGCTGTTGTCTTTGACTGAATGAGCCCACACCACTTTGGGTAGGAGGGATCTGTGAAGCAGCCCAGCTTTCCTTCTCCACATCATTTCTTCCGTGGGAGTCTCGGGGGATCTATCCTGGACAGCATCCAAAGACTGTGCCTGAATATCACCACTGCCCTCAGGGGGAACAGCATCTCGTTTGGCATGCTGCTGTCTCAGAGTCTGGCCATCACCTGCACTCTGGAAGTCTGAGGGAGTCTGGGTGGGTGTATTAGAGGAGGACTGGCCAGATCCAGAAGGAGTAAGGTTAAGGAACAAGGGTTTAAAGCCTTGCTTTTGCTCAGGATACTGACTCCTTGCTTCTGTTGGGGATGGCACAAATGCAGAAGTCCTGCTATCTGGCCTGGAAAGTTCTGAGAGCTTGTGGTTCTCGGTTAGTGTGGTGGACCCGGTGACAACCTCACTGCTGGGGTGAGGATGGGGATAGTAACTCGTGAATGCCATTTTTTCCGAGTGGCTTCTTTCTTTCTTGCTGAAAGACCTAAAACCCAAGAGACAGACCATGATAAGATTAATAATTAATCAATGAGCAAAAAGCTCATTGTGTGCCTCCTTAATGAGCAAATTATGCAACCGTACCAGAGGCCTGGGTCAGCGCTTGCTGATCTAGGTGAGGTGCAGTTGTGCTTTGAAACTGGTAGTAAAATCCAGTCTACTAATGCTAGGGACACAGAGCCAGATCCGTTCCCACTCACCGTCTCCCATCATTTTTAGCGTGTGCTAGATCACGCACACATGTGCACACATGTAGCTAGCATCACAGCAATAACTTAATAGAGAAAATTTTAGGAAAACCTAAGTGCCTGGCTTCCCTTCCAGCTTTGCTTTGAATTTGGTTTGTTACAGATGGGGCCAGTAGTGACTGCTGTAAGAAAGACTACTAGACATTATCTACCACAAACTCCATTCTCGATTGCCAATAATTTTAAGAATTTCAGCTTTATGGGCCAAAAATTCCCATAACATTATCTGCTCCTTTTGGAAAGCTGCCATTGAAATGATTCAACTGTCTCCGAAAACAAAGTGAGGCCAAAAAATGCACTGTTTTGACTGCGGAGAAAAATAAAAAAAAAAGCTCTTACAACCTTGGAATCCTGTTAGAAAAAAGAGCTCCACTCAGATAGGTAGGTGGTGTAAAAACCAAAGCCAATACACTTCAACTGCAAATGGATTTCAGGCTGCAAAGTCAGCAGATTAAATTATTCCTTCCAGGTCTTTTAAGATGTTCTCATGTGAGTCTGAGAAACAGTGTTGGGCCTTTGAAGTGAGGACCCTGCTCAGAATACATAGCCCAACCTACTTGCCCATACGGCTATTTAGCTAGAAAACAAAATGAGCAGTCATAATAGCGCTAGCAGATGCAAGAGAAGATGGCCTAAAAACACGAGGCCATACCATAAAACAATAAAATACAATAAAGCTCTACTGCCAATGTATTTTCTGTTCTTGAGATGCATTGTTCAAATAATCCGACACTGCCAATGTGTGACGTTTGAGACTTAGGCCCCAAATTTGCTCTCAGATGTACTGGTACAAATTAAGAATAACTCTGTCAAAGATGTGGGTCGTTCCGGCTTTATTCTGGTGTAACTGAGAATAGAATTTGGCAACCTTTGCCTGGGGGTGGGGAAACTTCCCAGACAGACTGCTCTTGGTATTGTCTGTGGTTCCTGGACAGTAGCAATGTGTATTCTTTTCAGATGCTCAGTGTTTGTCAGAAACGCCAGATGGTAATTCTCTAATTGAAAGATCTCTCCTACTGTGGGAGCAATTGTGGATTCTAAAATTGGTGGAGCAACAAACATTCCCAACAGTGCTTATGAGACAGCTATTGTATGACACCTGGGGAGTACCGTAAGAGCACAGAGTGCAAGGCACAGAGCGTGTGTGACCACACCAAGTGGTTGCTGACCAGGGTTTCCTTAACTTCACCATTTGACATTTTTCCTTCTTGAGCAAGAGAGGTGGTCGGGATGGTCCCATCTCCCCTCCAGGATGTTAAGCAGCTGTGTCCCAAGGAAACCTAGAAGCGTAATTCCTACTGCCTGCTATCGCCTTCCCTGAAGGGCCCGTCCATGGAGTGAGCTGCAGATAGCGATAGGGTGGTGATGGTTAGGTGTGAGAGGACTGGATAGAAAAAGAGCGATTTGGGACTGACAGTCACGGGACAGACAAGGACTGCATCTGTTAAGGGATGGATTAAAGATGCTACAATAATCCCATATGGACCCAGACTGTGAAATACTCACTCACACTGGGGCAGGGGAATGTTCAACAGTATCCTAAGAGTGGAACTCCTTCTGTGAATCATTGGCACATGGGTAAGGTCCTGGTCTACCTGTCCCTTCCAGTCTGCAGAGGATTCAGATCTCGTTCTCATTGAGAGTTAAATATAAACTTATACCAGCTTCAGGAGCGCACGGTCAGAGCCCTCTGGCTTCCAAACCTCATTCCCATTCTCTTTCAGATCATTTCAGGTGCAGTAACATAAGAAAAATCACTCAGCAGCTGAGGCTTGTAGGGAGTGATTTGCAGCCTGTGTAGTGGGACCCTGTGTCCTCAGAGCCAAGGTCTTTTACCTGTCTTCTCCCATCCTTTCGTTCTATCTTTTGGGAAATCCGATTGTGATCAAGAAGGGAAAGCAACCTCACATCTCCCAGAAGAAATGTGCGTGCAGAGCATGCAGGATGCCTATGCAGCAGAAACATCATAAAACTGTTAAGTTAATACCAATGATCTTTGTGCAGTGAAGCACGAAAATGAGAAACCTACATTTTGTGCCCCAATAAACTTGTTTTCAGTCTGGGTGTTCAATGCCATTACCTGGAAAATAGGGGGGGGAAGGAAGCAGCAAGGAGTTATTAAGAATGATGAAATGCCATCTCTAGAAGAAATGGGGAGGCAGGATGAACTAAACCAGCTGTACTGTTCTCTTAGGGAAAAAACAGTGGAAAAAGTTATTCCAAATCAAAGTAAATGGGTGTGTTTTAAATAATCCTAAAAGGATGTGCCTGAAGGCGGATTGAGTCCCTCTAAAACAACATTTATGTCTTCCTAGGGGCAAAAATGGCCAGCCGGTCAGAAGTAAGATCCAGCTAGACTAGGAGCCTTCCTCTACTTCTAGCCCTCGCTCCCTGATCCAGAGCTGCACGGTGAAACCTTTGGAGACAGCAGTGTTAACTCCCACTGTGACAACAGAGTGGGATGACATTTACTGCAAGTTTGTAAGAAACAGCTCCTCTGTGAATAATTCTTTCCGTCCCTCTTGATGGTTTTTACTGTAATACAAGTTAGCTGTTTGGGCACTCAGAGCTTAGGGCAAGCATCTATTTAAACGTATTTATATTTAATACAGCAAGATCAACTTCAGTTCTAGTTAACTTCAAAACTACCCACTGCTAAGTGGGTAGTTACGTAAGTCCTAATATTATGCGTTTTATGATTGCACTTCTCTATTTTTAAAAACATTTCTCTCTCCCCTGTTGCTGAGCAAAATATCCTGCCTGAACAAAAGAAAGCAGCCTAAATGCAAGCTCCCAATTCAGCAAAGTAAATGAAATCTCCCGGTTTTAGTCCATGCAAATGTTCACTTGCTTTTGGGGAGGCAGCACCCTGGACTGGAGAAAACCAGACAGAGTGGGACACCAAGTATTTTTTCCTTTAGAATCCTTTGGTTATGACAGCATCTGGATGTGAGTCCTAGCAGCAGATCAAACACATTTTGGAAGGTATGTAATTGGAAATTTGCTGCAGAAACATGCTCCAAGATGACATGAGGAGGATTTGATAGTGAATTAATGTCTGTAGCGAAAAAAAAGCTCACAGCAACTTACTCCTCTCAACTCTACTGGGCACAGCACACCCAGAACTGTGTCTGTGCAGCTGCTTTCTCTGGTTTGTCACGATCCATCCATTTACACAGACAACGCACGACAACTGCTGCTGGCAGCAGGATGGCAAGAGCTGGTCCTGCAGTGGCAGAGGGGACGTTAACATATACCTACCTGGCTCTTGCGCTGACCACATCGAAAGGATCTCTCACCGTGGGGCCAAATTCGCTGCTTTCTCTTCTCAGCAGGTCCTGGAGTGCAAAAACAGTATTAGCAGCGAGCAGAGAGCAAACCAAAGTAACAAAACACTGATGCTTCCTACTAAGAAGAGAGCGCAGCATGTGCCGTATACAGACGGGAAGAAATCTCTAGTGTGGCATACCACCCTCCAGTGCCCTACTCCTGCTTAGAGGACCTGTCTGCCTTTTTCAGGATGGATTGTGGACCAACAGGCAGTCTTACTCAGAGAAATGTTTTTTTAAAACCCCTCAGCAAGTCCTTGCTTCTTCTAAAAACATGCTCAATGGTATCAGTGGGACCAGGGTGATCACCTCTGTTTTACGTGCAAGCAAGAAGCCGAGACGTCACTGAAGCAGCCTTAACAGGGGAAGCTAAACAGCGAACAAGCTCTGCCCATGCCCAGCGCCAAAACAGGACTGAAAGGCTGCAGAGATGCTGAATGCCACAAAGGCTGGAAACTCCAGCCGCAGGCAGAGGCGCGGAAAAACATCACCAAATCTGGTACTTGGTGCTTTTGAAAACTAAAGCGCAGGAACTACCTCCTCTTTAGGTATTTATGTCAGCTAAAACCAGAGAAATGTTGCAGCTGAAATACATTTGTGAATGTGACTCTGCCTGAGCTCCCACCATAGGACACCAGACTATTAAGAGACATGAAAGCAAATGCTAAGCCTGCTTTTGAAGAGGTTGGTATTTTCTCCCGTACGATCTTTCCAGCGGAGAGTATTTCAGTGCCCCCCTTCCCCACACCCTTAGCAATTTGCTTTTTTGGTCAGTGTTGCTGCAGAGGGAGGGTAAGTGCAGGTCTTGATTTAGGAGTCCGGGAGCTGGGAGATATGTGAGCTGAGATGGACTAAAAAAGCAGAGAGGAAGGAAGGCTGAGAATGCGTTCTGAAGACTGAGAGCTAATAATTCCACATGGCTATCAATTTCTTTATATCTTTAAACAAATCCCTACAGTGACACTGCAATGTGATTTATATACAGCCTGCAAGGAACATTAGACACTGTACACAAAGCCCTGACAAACATACAGTGAGGCAGAGAAGTGTGCTGCTAAACTGGAAATAAACATTTCCCACAAAAAATCTGAAAAGGCCAAAAAAATAATAAAAAACACCCCCGCCACCCTGTTGCTTTGGCTTTGTCCCCAACTTTTATAGCTGTGGTTTTGTATTGGAGGCAGATAGGAAACAAACCTAATTAAGAGAGCACTTCAACATATACTTCCCTTTCAAGCAGACACTTACGGATTGGTGTATATATTTCAAGTCAAACATGCTTTCTTGAATTAAGATTTAAGAACAGGATTTTCACAAGTGCCTTGCTGCCTATGGGAGTAAATCAGCATTCCAGAAGTGGATACAGCTAAATCACTCTGGGAAACAGCAGTAAGGGCTCTCCTCTCTTCTACACTTAGTCTAAGACCCTGCGAGCAGTTCTGCACTGCTGTTCATCGTCTTCCTCGAGTCAGCTTCCAACAGGCAGAAACTCTGGTTTGGCTGCTGAACATATGCAGGATTAAAAATGAGCCAACAAGGGGGAAATAAAGATCTTAAGAACTACCCTGTATGTCAACTACCCTGTATGTCCCCTGCCCAAGAGAGGCGGCTGGGTAAAAATGAACCAGGGCTGCTCGTCATCCAACCTGTCATCTAAAAATACATTATAGTGATTTTTCTCTTTCTGGATGCCTGGTTTTGTCGCTGCTCTGATTGTTCCAGGAGGCAGAGAAAGAGCCACAGCTTGGCCTTCACCCTAACTTTCTTAAGGACTGGCCTCTTACTGAACGCAACACTTCATGATCGGCAAGTGTGACAAAATGGCACAGGTGAGCCCGATGCCTGGCTGGTGTGGAAAAATACTGATGATGGGACGAGACAGCAGTGGTTATGGAAATGCATTCCGGTTACTTGATATTCACAAGCTGCTTTTTAAATTCTATTTAAAAACGTAGTGTGGGATCTGAGGTCTGTCGAGGGAGGACATTTAGAATGAAGCACACGGTAAGTTTGGGAGGACGGCTCCTTCTCCCGCACCCCGGTTCGGCCTGTTTCCGAGCTGCTGCCCAGAGCCTCCTTTACGTTACTTGACTCAGTACCACTTCATTGCACCTAGATAATCTGATCTGGGCCAGTAGCGAGTGCAAGAGTAGAAGGAGATGTCCTGGATCTCAGCTGCCCCGTAAATAGGTGAGACTGCCCAAACACTCAGACTATTTGGAGCGAGGAGCCTGTCCACACATTTCAGTTGTTTCGTCCCTCTCCCCGTGAAGAATGGAGCCTGGCGTGGAAACAGCTCGACCAGTTGCAGTTACCTAAATAGGTCTGAGTAGATTTCAGCCAGCTGAAGAGCTGGCCTGGGCGGCAGTTCGTTAAGAAGTTAGCCTGTTTCTACTATTTACCATCATCAGAGTCAGTCAAATTCCCCATTTGTGACATCAGTGCAATGTTCCCAACCACCAAGCAGGGGACATGGAAAGAGCGGCCAGGGTCTCCACTAAGTTTTGTCTGCAATGTTTCCCTCCAGGGCTGGAGGCAAAACATAATGGTTCCTTGGCAGTGGCTCCGCTGAGCATTTCCCAGCACTGTCAGGCACAGTGGGAGCCAGGGCAATTTCAAGCAGCCTTTAATCTTCTCTACTTTGCACCAGGAAAGTGAGCTAAGGCAGAACAGCAGCAACAGCGTCTCTATCGCCACCGTAACGATAGACCCCACCAGAAAGGCGATCGTGCTTCTCCGGCGATGCTGGCAGGTAAGAACAGGACACCTGAGGTGGGATGTCAGGAGCAGCAAGAACACATGCACGCTACCAGCATACGCACTGAAATCCCAGCATCTCTGAAATCCCTGAAATAGCCCCAGCAGTAAGCAAGCTGAACAGAAGCAGTACCCCACCAGCAAGCATTTCAAACAGCATCCTGGTAATTTAAACACAATAAACTGTCTCTGTCTCAACATGTATTTAACCTCTCTGTAACCAACAGAGTAACTGCCGTGACTGAACATCAGCCTGTCCTCCGACATCCCCCGTCTTTCCCTGGTTCATAAAGCCCTGCTTGCCCGCACGCACGATCCGGTTTCCACATACCTGGTGTTTCTTATCCGCCGTGGGAGACGATCTGGAACGTACATGCACAGGGACTGTCTGATTGTCGTACCTATCGAGCAAGTCTTCCACAGACACCGATTTCCCAGATTTCCTGGCAGTAGAGGGTGTTTCAAAGACCTGCTCCTGCTTCCCGTAGCGAGGCTGGCCCTGCATGCCCAGAGGGTCCGTCTGCGTGCCTTTCGTGAGTTCCGTTTTGGCTCTGTAATCCCGGCACCTCTCTGTTTTCGGTCGGCTCGTGACCGAGCTGTCCTGGTGCCCTTTCTTCTCATCTCCACTGGTGTCAAAGCAGCTCATCAGCCCAGGAGGAAGGGTAGAAGATATCCGCCCCGTCCTGGATATCCGCTCTATGGACTCTCTCCGGCAGTAAAGGTTCTGGTCCTGGAGGGAATTCATGCTGGAGGCGGAGGAAAGGCTCTGGCTGTCTGGGCCACCTGCCTGTAGGTAGGAGTTGTGGGAGCGCTCCCTCAGCAGTCCGACATCTTGCGAGGATGGCCGTCTCCCTGTTTTGCGCTCGATGTAGTCGGCGAGCGCGTTCTGCTGGAGTTGCTTGAGCTCTGGCTTGGAGAGGCTAGCTGTGGAAGAAGCTTTGCTGTCCCTTTCGAAGATCTTACGCCGGTCAGCCACCGTATTCTCTGGAAAGACAAAATGGATACCTTTCTTCTGGAAGGAGAGAGGCGATGGCTCCCCATCAGAGATGCCCACCTCGTTCATCTTCTCCGGCTCCGAGTAAGACCGCTTCTTCTGCTCTGCCGTCAGCCGCTTTCGGCCCCCGATGCGCAAGACGTGCTGTGTCTTGGAGTAGTCCAGGGCGGAGAGGCTGCCTTCTGTTGGCGTGACACTGTGCCTCTCCTTCGGGGTGTGGGGAGACGGCGCCATGCTCCTCACGCCCACGTGGGCCGAGGCAGGCCTCTGGGTCGTCCTCTTGGGTGCGCTCCCGAACGGGGGGCTGATGCGACGGAAGGAAGTGGCCCTCAGCACCCTGGACTGAGCATCTTTAATGCTGTTCCTGTAGGCCCTGTTAAATGGTGTGTCCAGCTGCGACCCGTGGGCATCCTGGACGTTATCCTTCCAGAGGATCTCCTTCTCAGGCTCACCTCCCAGCTGGAATGTGCTTTTACTCCTTGGTAGCTGAGCCGCCCTTACGTGTGCCTCATTTTCAGGACACAGGCTGTAGTATTCGCTGGGTCTTGCCTGCTTCACCGAAGCTGCCATCTGCAGCTCTACGGGGCGCCAGTCAGCCTCTTCTAGCTTCCCGTTCCTGACGGAGGGGCTGGAGACCCTGCCCGGCTCACTGGGCAGCTGGCCGGGCTCGTGGAGCCTGCTCCGTATGTCCTCCGGGCTGTGCAGAGAGCACCTCGCGCTGGAGGGCTGGCTCGTCCTGCTCGGCCCGTAGTGCTGGCCGAAGCTGGGAACGCCGGCACTCTGGGGCTGGTGAGTGCTTTGCTCTCGCTGCTCAAACTTGCTGACCTTCTCCAGCACCGAGCAGCGGGGCTTGCTGGCGTCTG